GATTGAAATAGTCATTGATTTTGCAATTTTTTATATGTTTTTTTAAACAAAACTAATAATAATTGATTTTGAAATAATTATATATAATATAAGAAAAAACATTTATTCATAATTCATTTTTGGTGTGACTATTTTGTACAAAAACCAATGTATTATTTTGAATAAATTTGGTGTTATTTATTCCGAATCAAATATTAAACGACAATATTTAATTTATAAAAACAAAATTAATTGTTTATTATATATTTACATTTATATATTATTTAAATATTAATATTTTCTACACAACAAAAAATAAAAATGTTTTGTGATATGTCATGTTTTAATTAATTTCATGTGTTTTTATTTAAATTTGATTCTCTTTATAGTTTTAATTAATATTAAAATTATAATGAAGTCAAGTTTTTAGTTGTTATTGTACAAAACAACGAATTAAAAAAACTATCGAATTTTTATTTTGTTAAATGTTTTTAATAAAGATTTAATTCGTCATTTTAAAATACAATTTGGGTATGAAATTGATATTTCATGTTTAATAAACCAAAATATTTCATGATTTTGAAATAAGGAAATTGTAGTGTAAGTTGAAAAATATAAATTGAAAAAATAGACGCAAAAAATCGAAATAAGGGAAAATAATGATAAGTAAAACAGGTATAATTTTCGACAAAATATATTAATATCCCGAAAAACAAAAGAAAAAAAATACTGTTATAACGTGTCGGACTTTGTGGCCCAAGTTTATACACAAGCCAAAAAAGGAAAACCATCAAAAATTTGATTAATATCCCTGAAAAAACAGGCCAAAACAAAAATAAGGGCGTTATTTTAAGTGTTAACGATAATATTTATTTTAATATGTTTTAACACAAAGTGTTATATATGATAAATGTGGGATAAGGTTATAATATTTTTGTTCGTTATAAAGGGTAATATGTTAAAATATGTGTTTTAAAAAGTTAAAAAACCAATTTTTGTTAAAATAATTATAATTTTTATTTTGAAAAATTGGAATTTCAAATTGTTGTAACGGACTCTTTGATAACATTTATTGAATAAATAAAATGAAATGAATGATAGGTAAATACACTACATTTATAATTGAAAACGTTGTTGATTTTTTGATAATAAAATGAAAAATCAATAGTTTTATTGATAGTAAATTATAATATTGTTTTAGTTATATAAATTAATAAAGTCAACTTTAATAAACACATTCTTGGATATCAAGAGTGAGTTTTGTTGTTAATAAAAAGCTGTTAACAACATGTTAAATACACCATTTGAATGTTGTGTGTCTGATGCCTGTTATTTATTAAAGAATAAGTTGATGTTTGAATCATTATTCTTGATAAAATAATAATTTTATAAACTAATAAATAAGCATAATAAATATTATTAATAATTATAGCATAAAATAGTATAATATAACAAACATTTAAAGTAAAAACATTTTATAAAAATAATGTTTTTTATTAAAATGCTTTTAATAAATATTTTAATCGCCATTTATTGCCATAATAATTTCAAATGAATCTCGATAAACAATTAAAATTTAATAATTTATAATATTAAAATATTAATTGTATTAATCAAAAACGTTGTTACGTTTCAATCCAAATTTTAAATATAATAAAATTACATATAAATATAATGGATTTAAAAGTCAACAGATTTAAAAAAACGAATTTTGGACTATAAAAGAAAATATTTTGAACTCAAAACAGTAATTCATTACAATATTTATAATACGCGGGGAGAGATTGTGATAAAATATAATATATAATGTGTGTGAGAGCGAGATAATTATATTTGCCATGGTCGTTGACCACTTTTTGTGGAAACTGTGATTAAAATGTTTGAATGAGTGTTATATGATAAAAAAGAGAACGCGATTCTCTTCCGAAATAATATATTTTATCTACAAAAAATATAAATGATTTATTTTTATTCATTGGTTATTTTTTGGTTTCATTGGTTTTTATTAATTTCTAAAATTGCAAAACAACAAAAACAAAAATAGAAATTAACATGTTTTATACTTCCCAAAACTGCAGAGCGGGGTTTTTCTTTTCCAAAATACGTGTAAACATTGTTTTTTTTCTTTAAAAGTTTCTAATAAATTCCCCAACTAGTTTATGGATCCCAACCAATTTATAGATCCCTATATACTAAATGTTTTTTTTTAAAAAATTGTGTCTAAAAAACTCAACAATAACTAATTTTATTAAACTTAAATTGTGTTTTAGCTCACTTTTTCTTAACACCCACTAAATTATCCTTTTGGCTAGTTAAAAAAATTTGAAATAATTGTATGATTAATATCAAATATAAGCTGTGAATTTAAAATTATGGATGAAAAGAAAGGAGAAGTTTGAACACTTTTGTTGATAACGTTTTGTATTCACAAGACTAAATTTGTTATTAATAAAGTGATCTGAGTAGCTACTTCCCGATAGTTTAAAATGTTAAAATATAAACATGAATAATAACACCAAGTTAAAGTACGAAGAGAGTTGGATAGTTTAATATAAATTTTTAACATTCTATATGTTATTTAGCGTTAATCTTATTGCATTGAATAACACCATTCTTATATTGTGTGTAATTGAACAAATATATTGAATCGAAAAGTAATACATTTAAAACTTGGTGATATCAATATTGCATACTCAATCATAACAATAACACAACAATATTATAATATATTTTATGAATAGTAATTCATCAATATATTATATTTTATAGTTCAATTTGATTTTTTGTGATTACAACACATGTGACATAATCAAGTAAAACGAGAGGTTGGGTTCTTTAAACACAATTAGGGCAACAAAATCACTTCTTATAATTGCCACAAACAACGAGAACAAAAATCACCTTGTTTCGAAATAAAAAAAGGTTATTAAAACAGCTATTAAGTATATAAAACACAAACATATCTATGTTTTATTTAATATTGCTTAAAGACATCCAATGGTTTTTTAAGTAAATCCAACATCTCAGGAATTGATATTATAATTATTTTTTTCTCTCAAAAGCGGGCATTTTTGGCCAAATAAACCTCAAAAACCTCGCTTTAGAGCACAACCATAAGAGATGTTTTAGTCTAAAACAACCACTCTTGAAATAACTTGCTTGTAAGAAGTACAGCTTTTGGAGGTTAGACTGTAAATCCAACTAAAATGATAATATTGAATTAATCAGTTATTTTATTATTTTACATATATTATATGATTAATAATTGAACAATAAAATAATAATTTAAATTATTAAAATTAATAATTTATTAAATTGTTATTTTATTATCTATAAAAACTAGATAAAAATATATAATAACCATTATTTTATATAATGAATAATACAATAAAAATATCATAAATTCACATATTAATTTTTTTATTCATTAATTATTATTATTTTCTTATGATTTGTAGAATTAATAATGAGTTATATAATTGTGAGTTAATAAATTAAAATAAAATCTAAATTGAGTAAATTAAAAATATTTATTTTCAACTTAAAAGATATAATTATTTTTAATTAAATTATTAGTTTATTAGTTATTAATTATAAAAATGCTTAAAAAAGTTTTGTCAAATTCGTTTACAAATCTATTTGTTTTAAGCCGAAATTAAAATCAGTGATATGTTAAAAATATTGTTGATTATTTTTGTTGATAATATTTGTTATTATATCAACAATAATAGTAATAACAATTTATAATAAAAATGAATAATACATTTGTTTTGTTTAAATTGTTAGAAATTGTCGAGTTTATTTTCTTATTAACCCTTCCAGTACCAGATATTAACAAAATTTAATTTTTTTTAAATAATTTTCAAAAAAAACAAAACCCAATTCCAAAATTCTGAAAAGTTTAAAGGAAAATCACCATTTTATAGTTCATGAAAGCCAGTAAAAATAATGTATAAACAAATAACCGTCATTTTTTTATTAAAACAACAGAAAAACTAAATAAGTGAGTTTGCAATTTTGTATTGAGTGTAACAATTCCTTGTTGTTTATAATAAAAAATAATTCAAAAAGTATAACAAGTGTTTAAAATGCCAAATGTTTCGAAGATAAGATAAAGAATTAAAAAATTGAAGTTTACAGTTCATATTGTAAAGTTTTATTATTATATATTTACTATAATGACAACAAAAACGATGAATTAAAATAATTGGTTTAAAATTAAAAGTATAGTTTATTCGTTGAACCCTTATGTGGGGTTATGTGTTATACTTGCTGATTAATTGAACATTTTCACTTTTTTGTCCCTTTCATGTATCAACATATCACTCTTCTTCATTTCTGTTATATAATTTCGTTTTTCGACGCTTTTAACGTTTATTTTGGTTATAGACAAAAGATGTTACATCATAACAAGTATATATAAAATGAAAATAAATAAACATCAACAAACATCAGCCCAAAGCAAATAAAAGTTGTTCTTTTCACTCATTATCTACTACGTGTATTTGTTCAAATATGTTTTTTGCGTGTATATTTAACTGTGTATATTCATGAAACACTGCAGAGTTTTACCCCCTCATAGTTATTGATAATTAAAATTTACTCAAAAACAAACATTATGAAAGGTTTACACGTACATTTTTAAGAATTACGAATCTGTTCGTTAGTATTTGACAGAGCATATAGAAACTATAAACAAACTATTATATTTGAGTACAAAAAGTCGTATTTGCGTGCTTGTGTATACATTTACCCATTCTTCGTTAACATGTTTATGTTATGTCATCCTTTTGGTGTTATTTTCATATTATTTTTCAGTTCAACTTCCAGGGTTGTTGTTTATATTTATTTTTATTTAAAGTATTTTTATAAAGTATAATGAATGTTATTTTGTTTTAAATGTTATTATAATATATTTTCATAAATTTAATTTGAATTATGTGATATAATAATTAAACTATTATAAAACCATTATACCAACGTTTGTTTTACAAAAAAACATCCAAACTCGTTCTTATCACATGGAAGACTTGATTGTTGGTGACTACAAGTGGAAAGCAATGGGTCCCATCAACAAAGAAAAGAAAAAGTTCAAAAGGAAGGTTGCGAAGGTGGGTGCTGACTATAAAGCAGAATTTTGTACTTCGACTGCTTCTGACTTGTTTTTTGGGTTTTTTGACGAAAATTTAGTCGAAAAAATAACAGCATTTACCAACGCCAAATTATCAGGAAAAAAAGGTAAACCCCAAATAACAAAAATAGACATTATACGATATTTCGGCATTTTACTATATATGGGAGCACACCACGACATAAAGAATCCATTTTCCGAGCTTTGGAACGAAAAACACGGGAAACCAAATATTTATGGTAAAGCTATGCCCAGAAATGTTTTTCAACTTATCAATGCTAACATCGAGACTTACGATGTCACAACTTTTCCGGATGAAGTTGAGAAAGAGAGTTGTTTTAAAGGTGATGAAGAAGAGAGTGAGGACAGTGCATCCGATGAAGAGGAAATTCCAGAGAATAAAGAAGAGACCGAAGAAGAAGACTATTTGAGTTGTGATGAGTGGGTCAAAAAAACATCCTGTTGACCTGACCGAAGAGAAGCTAAAAAAGGATGTTGAAGTGAGACAAAAAGTAAATGATGAAGAGACTATAGAAAAGGGGTTAATCAAAGCATCAAACACGCCAAACTCAAATGACAAGTTTGGCAAAATGAGGGAAGTGTTGGAAGCTTTTATTCACAACTTAGTGAACAACAAATACTTTACACCGAGCACCACACTATCGGTTGATGAACACCTTTGCGCATTCAAGGGAAAGATATGGGCAAAGGTATTCATCAAGTCCAAACCCCAGTGTTACGGCATCAAGTTTTGTATTTGTTTTTTGTTTTTGTTGTAAGAATAATTAATGAAGTCGGAGATTCACGATGTTGAGACATATACATCGGTAATTGACTTGTTGTTGATATTGTGTTTGATAATATATTCAATGAATAACAAAAAGATGTGCTGTGATTGTGAAAGTGGTATGGTTATAAACCTACAGATGTACTGTGGAAAATGCGACAAGAAGGAAGAAAATCAAGGATTTCGGGTGACGATAGATATGGTAGCTCCACAACTGTGTATGGGAAAGTTTGTGACAGTTGTATGTGACAACTTTTCTGTAGCTTAAGATTGGCACATTATTTGGCTCAATATGGTTCAACATTGCTTGGGACTGTGCGAAAAAATAAAGTTGAGGTACCAGAAGAAGCCAAGCAAATCAAACGTTATGACCCCAATGATGATAAAAAGGCTACTACAAGAGAGGCAGATTCAACGGAAGTGTATACAAAGGGTGTATGCAAATTGTTTTCTTACTATAATGAAAAGAAGAAGTTACTGCTCATTATGACGACGATGCATAATGCTAAAGAGTTGTACACCTTTCAGGAGCAAGTGAGGGGAAAGGATGGCAAACTTGTGAGTGTACACAAACCAAATGTGATAAAACAATACAACGCGACAATGGGAGGTGTTGATAGTGCAGATCAGATGATACATACTTACACTTGTAGAAGGCGCACTTCAAGATGGAATGTGAGAATACTTTATGATTTACTTGACATCGCTGCCCTCAATGCCTACAAGGTATATCATCATCACCACGATAAGGTGGACAGGTTGAATTTCCTCAATGAATTGACAGAATTATTGATGGAAATGGAATAAATTACTTTTTGGTTTTATTGGTTTTATTATAGTTAATAATCTATTTATTATCTTTGATATTTTTCTGTTTCTTTTGGGATCTCTGGAAATCATATCTGTGTATCATACAATATTCAAAGCCTTTTTACATATTTATAGGGGAGGGGCTTTGCTTTTTTTATTAAATTATTATTATTATACTAATATTTTACTATAAACTTATACAAATAAATGATGTGATTATATAAATTTTCAAATCTCTGACTCACATTGCCCTGCTTCTTCGTTTTTGTATGCTTTATCATTGATTTTAAATTTGTAAGGATAGCATCACTCTACTGAGTTGGTATATCAATTCAAAATAAAAGAATTGTGAATCTATTTGTTGGTTAGTTTCTATTGTGTATCCCTGTATAAAGGCCACAAACAACAAACAGTATATTCACTTCAAATAGCTATATATTGTGAAAGTGGGTGTATAAAATACAAAATCTGGTTGATAAGAGTCACTATCTTATAAGTATATACATAAAGTATATACTGTTTATCAGTAAATCTTTCGTTTTTATTAATTTTCTGGTTTTGATTTTTATCCCAAAAATGCATTTTCAAAAAACAAATGCCAAAACAAAAAAATAATCAGACAAAACAGATTATATGTTACCATTTGTTTTATAATAACAAACAAATACTTGTCTTTCCAATCATATAGAAAAACTTTCTCTCTGTATTCATAATACATTTGTCTTTTTTTGAAAAAGTCATATCTTTATTACTCACAACTGGAAGACACACGAAATTAAATAAACAAGGTGTCATGATTATTTAAGACAAATTTTGGTTTTACTGTCTTAATTTTACTCCTTGAGTTGTTTATGACTCTTTTATTATTTAAATTGGTGTGTCTGACGATTAAAAAACAATCTTATTCATTTATTATTAAATTAAAAGGTTTTTATTGTTTATTGAATAAGAAAGAACTAAAAAGGTGATTTTTACAAAAGTGTATTTTCCTTTTATTTTTTCAGTGTTATATTTTACTCTTTTTTGACAAACTCTAATTATTTTATTTTTCACCGAATTACAAAAAGATGAAAAAAACAATTATGAGATCACAGTGTTTTTTTGTTTGATGTAATCGCTTTTCTGAATATTCAAGGAATGATGTATCCCTTGTTTTTCAATAATAAATATTCAAATTGAAAAGTTATATAATTCATTTTTACATTCTGAAACTCCTTTTTGTAAAGATTATTATTGCGTTTAGTTTAATATACTATACTATTTTTTTGATATAAAAACAAAAACTTTTTCAACTTGAAAAGAGAATAATCAGAGGAATTTTCAAGTCTCTCTTGTTGAAAAAAGTGAACCTATTTTCAATAAAAATACGATTTTAGGTTATAATTTACTATTAAATTATAATATTTTAAATTATTGTTTACTGATAATTTTATTTCCTGGTATTTCCTATGGTTGTTAAAAGTTTAAAGCGTTTTATGCATTTATTCTTTCTAAAATACACTCAAAATGAATAAGATTAAATTAAGTATACATTTTTGGAAATTCCTGGTACTGGAAGGGGTAATAAATTAGTTTTTAAATAAATTACACAAATTATGTGATTGTAATTTAATTATATTATTTAAATTTAATGTTTTATTTAACATGAATAAAAATCAATTTCTTACATATTTTGTTTTGGTGTTTTTCTTTCGATTAATTTTTTGGATTGTGATTGATGTCTAAAAAAATAATAGCAATAAATAATAAATTTATAACTATATTTTATAGTTTATTTTAAACTAAAAATTTTGATTAAGTTAAATAATATATTTATAATTATATTATTAAACAACGTTTAATAATATATTTATAATAATATTTATTTTAAATTATTGTTATATTAATTTTAATTAACTTTGTGTTTTTTATTATCAAATTAATTACTTTTTTTAATCAAACTTATTATTACAGTCAAATTAACTTATTTCTTTGGTTGACAAAAAACAATTTTAATGTTTTTTAACATTTTTTTTCATTTATTTTTTTGAAGAAAATTAGTAAATTCTCATAATTTATCTCATAAAAGACAAAAGAGAAAAATACGAAACAATGGATGTTAAAGGAAATCTTTAATAATACATTTTACTGAGCTTATTCATTGTTAACCACTCTCTCCGTGGTTTACATAAGTGTTTAATCTTGTTCCTTTCTTTATCATTCGTTTGAGTGGTGGGTGATTTGTGTGTATATTACCTTCTTGATTGACATGAGAAAAAAACATGTGTAGAAAACGTAGAAGTGTGGTGCTCATGCAATTGTAAGATTATTTTTGAGTTTCCTGAACGCAGGATATACATGGGGTTGTGTGGATGAAATTGCCTGGACAATCGCATGTACATCAGTGAATGGGTGGAGCGAAGTTGGGCAGAAGTGTTGCTTGACAAAATTAAAAAACGGAATGAGTCTTTCTTGCACTGCAGCGATTGATAGTGGAGGAATGTCTTATTGTGACTTGGTTTATGGTTGTAACGATAAACAGGTTTACAATGCATACTTCAAAAGACTTATTTCAAGATATGACGAGGCGGGAATACGGGCGGTTATTTGGTGCGATAACTGTAAAATACACTAAGACATGGAAGATATAATCGAATGTACAAACCATTGTGTGGTCTTCAATGCAGCTTACTCACCAGAAATGAACCCAATAGAGAATGTCTTTGGTTTCTGGAAGAGAAGAGTCGAAGATAAAATCAAAGAGTGGGTTGACTTTGAAAATCTCATCACTCAAATTAAAGAAAGTTTTGAAGAGTTGCAAGTACATGAAGTTAATGCTACAATGCAGAGATGTAGAAATGAAGTTTTGAGAAAAGTGTATGCTCGAGAGGATCTTTAATAAATTCCACTTTAATAGTTTTTTATAACATTTTATAAAGAAATAATTATTTTTTGTTGTTGAAAGTGAAATAATTCAGATAAAACTTTAATAATTCTAAATGACGTGAACATATAAGTTTGTGGTGCGTCTATTTATTTTTGTGAATGAAATATAAAAATTATAATATTGAAATTATTTGTGATGGTATTGATATTATTTTGCATGATCTATTTATTAATTTTGCCGGACTAATAACTGTAGTTAATGATTAATTAAAATATGTGACGAAATAATTTATTTTTTTGACTAAATAATTAATAAACTGACTTAATAATTATTGAAAATGGTGGGAATCGAAAACCCAGTGAATAACACTGTATTTGGATTCAGACTTTTGATATATTTTTTGTAATAATCTATATGCATTTATTATTTTATTATAAATAAAATAAACGATTTTGTTATCATAAAGGTACGAATTGCCAGTAAAAAACATAAAATCGTTCAAAGTACCAATATTAAAAGTGTATAATCTACTGTTATGTGTAAGTATTTTTATTGAATAAACTATCAAGTGCCCTTTTTTGTTTTATATTACAATATTTTCATATAAACAAATTATTAATTTATCTAATTAAATATTAATTGGCTTATCAATTGTCCATCGTATTTCGTCTTAAATAATCTCGAGTAGCTGTTATTTATTTTCTTATTGTAGATTTTTTATTAGTTGCAAAAAAATGCTTTCGTTTTAATGACAAAATTGACTTTATTTTACAAATAAATAATTGTATCCAGCTAAAAAGGGAGTTTTCACTGGATGGACACCAATCATGGATAAACGTGCATCCAGTAGTATTCCCTTTACAAAACTTTATTATTAGATTGTAATAATAACATAATAATATAAATTGAAATAATAAATTAAAAAAATATTATGTGTTATAACTTTGATTATATAATTCATTATTTTAAAATTTGAATAATATAACTAAAAATACCATTTTTCGTATTTATGTAAAATGGCGTTATTTTATATTAAATATATTATTATTTATTTAAATGTTTATTATATTTTTAATTAATTTTTTTGTTGGTAACAAATTGTACATATTGCCGTTTTCAATTTATATATTCCAAGATATTAAAACAAACAACTAATAATATCATAATATTAAATTAAAATAGTAAACGTATTAAATGGTTTGCCACATTTTTGATTAATTATGAAGATATTTGCAATATAAAAAAGAATATTTAGACCAACTCAGCATTTAACTTGATAACAAAACCCGAACATAAAACAACTTTAAAATATATACTTTAAGTTTTATTTTTAAAAAAAATATTAAAAATGTTTACCAATTATAAACGTTTGTTTATCTAAGTAAAAAAGTCTGTTATTTTCTACGAAAAAAACAGCAAAATGAAAAAAATTTACTCAGACTTTATTTTTATTTTTTCAAAAAGTGGCAAATTATTTCTTTTGTGTTTTTAATTATTAAATAATTTTATAAAAAAAAGCTAAATTAACTTTCACTCACATGACTTTCGTTTGTCAACTTTCAATTGTCAAAAAAATAAAAATTTCTTATATTTTTATTAGTTTTTAATGACTAGATAAAACAAAAATAATTCAATCGAAATAATTTTCTATCATAATAGTAATGATTTAGTAAATGTATATTTTTAAGTTAATTTAAATAGCTTTTTTGTAAATTATGATAGTTTACACCCATGTTGGGTCTTTTACACCAAGGTATTTATTTTTTTTTGTCGTTTTATTACAAAAAATAAGACCGTTTTTTTTAAAACAAGCCATTTTATGATAAGCCCACAACGATCATTTGCTTTATCAGTCTTACTAAAAATAGTTTGGTATTTGAATAATTAAAAACAACCCAGTAACTTGACAAATTAATGTGAAGACTGTTTGAATTGTTAAAAAAAGAAAAAATTGTTTAATTACCCCCTTTCATTTAACACGTTGGAGTTTATTTTGTGTTTTTTTACCAGAATTTTTTTCATTGAAACACATCATACTATTTTGCCGAACTACCAAAACAAAATTTTTTAAATAACAATTTCACTGAATAATCTCCAAAATTCAAAACGATAATATCTGATCGAGTCCTTGATGGAAAAGACGCCTTTGATTATAAAAACTAAAGGTTTAAACAATAACAGTTTGTGTTGTTTTTAAGTAATTTTTTAGTCGATATCGAATTGAGTAATATGTTTAACGTTGAATATTATGATAAAGATACTAAATTTAAGCGAAGGTTGTCGAAGTTAATATGTTAGAAAAAACAGACGTACTATCCACCACAATTGTAAGTATGTATTTACGATAAGAACACTCTATGAATTTGCGTGAATCAAGTCGATGAAATGTCAATTCAAGTGGCGACAAAACGCTTATTACAAACGTTCTTTGTCTTAGCGAATTGCTGCAAATTATAAAACACTCGGAGATGGTACAAAATAACAATAATTCGAATATTTTAGTGATTTTTGTTATCGTTTGAATATTAATTTTACTAAAATCATAAGGATAAAAATCCACAAAGGAGCTCAAACAGGTTTTTCCTCTTTTTTTAATTTTTTTACACTCGGCAAAAAAATAAAACATCACCTTTTTTTATTTTTTTTCATATAAAACTGAAAAAAGGAAACTCCAACGTGTTAACCACCACTATTTAATGGATTGATTTGATCATTATACAACATGAACGCTACAAGTTTTAATAAGCTCAAATTGGAAACAAGCCACCAAACCGAATTCAAGAGCCGATGCCTGAAAAGTCGTACTAAGAAGATTCAAACCCAACCGAAGAAGTCACTTTTAAAAATTTCAATGGAAGTTGTAGAGGAAACAACACAGTTGCAGATAATCCCCAAACTTCGCATGTACGGAGTTGAAGAAGAGATCGCTTCTATATTTTCTGAAATTGGAGGTGAACCGTTTAACTTTATTTCGCTCGGGTCTGTAGAAGTTCGCTCGAAATTAATTCACGAAGAATTCTCGTTTGAGCGATTTGAACGTTCGAATGCGCCTTCACTTCATGAGTCCTAATTGTATATTTATTTTACATTGTTTCATATTCATCTATTTAAAGAAATTTTATTAAAACCAGCTAAACTATTTATTATACTATTTTGATTTATAAATATATAATTTACAAAAATAAAATGAATGTCTTGTCACTCCACACAACAAAGGGGGCAATAATGGAACAAACGGCATCACAACAAGACTTGCTCCAAATGAGTTCAACGCTTCAGTCAGACCCACAAAACAAGACTTGTCCGTGTATTTTTAATTAAACTCTAAACGGATTTAAATGAGAATTCATTTATGAGGCTAACCGGAGACAAAAAGTCTTCATAACGCGAATTGCAAAAGAAATTGCACCGATTCAGAAAGATCCAAATATCCACATCTTTTATGATTTTGGCGTGGAAAATTCATGTGTAAATCATACGAGTGAGAGAAATGAAAAGAAGAATGTAACTAACGAAGTCAAGATAGATATATCTTTACTTGATAAAGAAATCAAACTTGATGAAACAGAAGAGAAACACAACTTGACTAAACCTATTCAACCCCCAAGTCTTAATAAGGTTACAACATTGAAAAGGTGATGTGTTTAATACGACGTGAAGAAGTTAAGAACTTCATCTAACAAAACAAAAAATTAAATTTGGTTCACCGATAGTGATTGGTAGTAAAGACATTGAAACACACAAGAAACAACTAAAACGATCTTTGAAAAAGCCAAAGAAAAAAACGAAGAAAATTTGTATGGAAGAGGAGTACATAGAAGACGAGTCTGAGTCACAGAACGAACAATTGTATAACAAAAGAGATCACTTTTGCTTTGATGAGACTATGAAAAGAAACAACAAATTGCAAAACGAAGGAATTGATTTGACAATGGCGGTGCAATATAAGAAGGTGTACAACTTTTTAAAAATTTACTGTCGAAAATAGGATTTTTATTCTACATCAAGATAATAACAATTATAGACTTGTTTATTCTTTGAAACCAGTTCGTTTTTAACTTGGATATTTTTATTTTATTATTAAATTGAATTTTTATTATAAATTTACTAATTTTTAATGTGTTTGAGTTAAACTAAACAATTGAATGTTTTTATTATATTTTTATAATTATAATTATAATAATTATTGTTTGTTTTTTAATACAATTGAAAGAAATAACACAATGAAAATTATGGGGAAATGTCGATTACTTCAACTCAATGTTTAAAAATTTTATAACAAACACAATCTATTATTATTTTCCAATATGTGGACAATTTTAGAAATTATTAATTATATATCAACAAGAAATTATAATTTTTTTGTATATATGTTCGTTTCAACTTATGTTGTTATAATTTTTTACTATTTCTGGTTTAATATCAATTGATTTTGTTGTGTTCATTACAATTTACAAGCAAAATTATTTGAATGTGTTTTGAAAATCACCAAATTTTTTGTTAATTGAATTATGTGAAAACATAATATAACTTGCCAAATCAATATATTTATATATAATAATAATAAACTATATAAAAATATTTTTTTTCTTTAAAAATATTTATCTGTGTTTAGTTGTATGAAAAACAATTAAATGAAAATGTAAAAAAAACATTAGATAAATTATATAAAATTTTTATGAAGACTCCATTCATGAAAATTAAAAGTTTGATTACTTTTATATATTTTTAGAGTTTATTAAAGTTTATTTTCATATTACATTCACTTGTTTATTTGTTAAATTTTTAATTGTTGTTTAGTCTTGATTGAAAATATATAATTTCAACATTCGTTTTAAAAAGTACATTAGTATGTATACAATAAAAGTATTTGAAACGAATAACAATATTTTGAAACGCTTAAAGGTGTGTTTTTTTTTCTAAAAACACATAATAAAAAACAACTTGGAAATTTTCATTATTTTGAAAAAGGTATAAAAAGGTATAATTCAAACTCGAAATCACCAAATGCAAAAATTCATTCTTTTAACAGTACTTGCGTATGCCGTCTTCGCAGCGGAATGTACGACTCCAATTGAAAATTGTGGGAGTTGCGACGAAGAAACAAAAAGTAAATGTGTTCAGTGTTCAGATAGTTATTTGTTGAATCTTGACAACACTTGTAAAAAGACTTGTGAAACTGGTAAAATTACAACTGAAACACCAACCACATGCGTTAAATGTACCAATGAAATGTGTGCTGTTTGTTCAGATGTAACAGCTGAAGGAGCAACAGAATCGACTGAAGAGTGCACAACATGTTTGGGTGAAGATATGTACCTCAATGCGGACAAAACATGTGGAAAATGTGAAACTGGAATGAAAGTTACAGAAACCAAAAAATGTGAAACTGTTAATATAGAAAATTGTGATGCATCAACAAAGACTGGAGAAACGGAAACTTGCAATAAATGCAGTGAAAATAATTATTTAAATCAAGGAGCATGTGTTTCTGCATGCCCCGAGGGCACAATTTTAAATGAAGAAAAAACTGAATGTGTTGCTATTCCTCCTCAAACATGCACAGTTGAAAATTGTGAAACTTGTGCCGAAAATAACAATGAAGTCTGTGTCAAATGTAAAGAAACATATTATTTGGATTTGACTGGCAAATGTGGGTTGGACTGTCCCGAAGGTTCCAAGAAGGATGAAACGAACATGAAATGTGTTGCTGATACTCAGACGTGCACAGTTGAAAATTGTGAAACTTGTGCTGAAGGAAAGACTGACGTCTGTGCCAAATGTGCAGCTACATATTATTTGAGTGAAGGCACTTGTGTCACCCAATGTCCTGAAGGTACTGTTAAAAATGACGAAAAAATGGAGTGTGTTGCTGATACTCCTCAAATATGCAATGTTGATAATTGTGACACCTGTGTTGAGGATAGAACTGATATCTGTAATAAATGTAAATCCAACTATTATCTTCAAGTGGACCAAAAAAGTTGCGCAACAGACTGTGCAAGTGGATATAAAGACACAACAAACATGAAATGTGTGAAATGCACAACTGAAAATTGTGTCTTGTGCAGTGAAGATCAAAAATGCACAACTTGTGTTGATGGAAATTATCTCACAGAAGATTTGAAATGTGTTACAACTTGCCCTGAAGGATATGAAGCAAACAAAGAAACTAAGAAATGTGTAAAAATCACTTGCAAAGTCGAGAACTGCAAGACTTGTATCGAAACTGATATCAACAAATGTGCAATTTGCAACGACAATTTGTATGTTGTAGAAGACACTTATAAATGTGTTGCCAAATGTGATAGTGGATACAAGACCGATAGCACAGCTGGTGCTTTTGCTTGCAAAAAGTGCAGAGTCTCAAATTGTGCCAAATGTGATTCAAAAGTCGATGAATGCCAACAATGCAGTGGGGACTATTACGTCAAAGATGGAAAGTGTGAGAAAAGAAACGATGATGCCGCAAAGAGTATTTTCGCTTTCTTGGCTTTGGTAGCCATTTTCTTGATGTTCTGAGAATTTTAATTAAGAACTTCTTTAAATATTTCAATTGATACTTTTTTTGATAAGCTTCGTATTAATTTTGTCAGTGTACTATATAAAATGTGTGTTTTGAAATTATAAAGACAATTAATTAATATAGTAAGTTACACAACGAATAAATTTAAAATTTATTAAAAATAAATTTAATTAATATTAATATACAGTCAAGGTAAAAAGTGGGATGCTAATCAAAATATAAATTTATTTTGGTGTTTTTCGTTTTATTAATTATTTGAATAATTATTAATATTAAATTTTATAGTAATTATATAAATAGTAATAAAACTGGGATGCGGGTCTTTAATTAAAACTAAAATATAAACTATATTCCTTTTTGATTTAAAAAATAAATAAAACCACTCAAATTTGTATGATTTTATTCATTTTTTTAAATCAAAAAGGAATATTTTATTTAAAAGTTTTAACAAACCAATAAATAGAGTTGAAACTCAAAACTATTATTATCAAATGGAACAACAATATCACCCGTTTGTACTTTTAAAGAGACCATTTAAGTATTGGTGTCTATTTTATTTATTAAAAAGATATTCAATTATACCTTCACATTAACTTACACATAGAACAGATAACATTGAGGAAAATGATAGTATTTCATGAGAACGATAAAAGTTAACAAATTCAATTGACACTTCTACAAACTAATAAAATATTATTTGTTTAAAAGAGGCAGCATGGTTTTAAAATATAAGTTGATGACAAGCTTACTTCTTCAAATCATTCCAAAGAAAATGTTTCTATTGTGGAAATATTATATTAAAAAATATAATACAAATTATCACCTCGGATGGAAAAAGTCTTCAAGAGGCATATTCAGCCTTCATGATAAACAGTACTATACATTTTATTATATTAATATTATTTAAATCTATAAATTAAGTATAAGTGGTTAAAAACGGAAGCGGGTTTTTGCACTTCTGTAAACGAAAAAAGTCCTTCTAGATAAGATTAACTATATTTAATCCTATTCAACTATTTATTATTAATCTCTATTTCAGTTTTTATTAAATTGTATATAACTATCGAGCAAAACAACAAAGAATTTTATCTATATTAAGACCTCTATTTTTCTGATAAAATACAGAATTTGGACATATAACATCTGAAAGTTACAACCATAATCATTCTCAGTCGGTTAAACACATTGACTCATTTTCACAAATTTTGATTTGGTTAGCTGGTAAATGTATTATCTTTATTTAAAAATTAAGACAAACATCAACTTGTTGCTTTTGATTGTGTAAAGTATTGACACAAGAATAACAACAACAATTGTTTTTGTATTTAAAAGGCCTATTTTATCGACATGAATTCAATTATCAAATTAACAATAAAAATAAAAAAATATCAACCAAAATTTTGTTTTAATTTCCATTGTTTGTTAGTATATATGCATTTTTTCTTGTATTATATCAAATTAAATATTATATTACTATAATTTACAAACTAGCCAGACTGTTTTTCATTACCTTTCTATACAAAAAAATATTACAGTACGGTCATTAAACCTTATGTGAAACCTTGAGGCTTATGCGATTTTTTTGAATAATTTTTAGTATTATTATTATTATGAAAAACCATACAAAAATAAATCAAATCATAAGTTATTTTAGTTATTTCCATAAATATTAATAAAACAATCATTTTTATGAAGAAATAACACCGACATCAATTTAGACGATCCGAACAAAGTGTGTACTGATCAGTGTAAGCATGGTTAAGATTTCTTATCTTAAACCCGATTTGTGGCTTTATGTCTCTTTGTTTTTTTTAAACAATCGGGGAATGAATAAAAAATCCCGACCATGGTGTGATATAGATTTTAAAAAGTTTTCAATAAAAACGAGTTATAAGACACTTAACAAATAACTTCTTTGCGTCTGCAACGATTGTGTCTATCTGCTCCTTTGAAAGTCTTCCAGCTGCTACACATGACAGTGCTGTATTCAAAACTCACCAGTCGAGTGTACATTGATGGTTGCTTCAATTGCGGCCTTGTCGTCTGGTGAGAGCTTTGCTGCAATTTGCTCGTTGAGTGTGTTTTTCATCGAATAGCAGTAGTTATCAAGTCCATTCTTCGCCTCGACCAGTTTCTTCATCTTGTCGTCCTCTGCCTTGAGCTTCTCTGCGTCTTCAACCGTCTTGTCTATTTGCTTCTTTGTAAGTATTCCCTTGTCGTTCGTGATTGTGATCCTGTTCTTCTTTTACTTGTTGTCTTGTTTTCAGCCGAGACAATTTGCATCAACGTCGAACGACTTCAACTTGTGAAGATCACGTGGTGCGGGTGGGATACCAGACAACTCAAACTTGCCAAGCAGGTTGCAGTGTGATGTCATAGACGCATCACCCTCGAAGACTTGGATGAGCACGCCTGGCTGGTTGTCTGCATATGTTGAGAAGATCTGTGACTTCTTTGCTGGTAGAAGGCAACACGTCTTTTGTTGCCTTCTACCATTCACTTTACTCGCTTTTTGTACAGAGAGTGTGATATATTAGTTCATTTTAGTTCAACTTCTTTTGTTGATTTTCATTTTGTTAAATTGTCTTCTTATATTTTCCAAATCATTCTTTTTTATTTTTGTAATCGCATAAGCCTCATAGTTCAGTTTCTTTTTGTATAAAACCGTGTTTTTTGCCTTTTTAATAATAAAAGTATTGATTTTTTTCTATCATTTATAGTTTTTTATATTTAGAAAATCGCATAAGGTTGCGGGTATCACATAAGGGTGAATACCACATCTGTACTAACAAATTAAAAGGAAATTATAAATGATTTTGCGAAATTCAATAACTTGGTAAACTCACTGTTTGAAACAACACAATTTTCTTTCCTCGACGCTCACAACTCATTTTCCATTGTGTAATTATAGTTGTTTGATTTATTATTGTTTTCAATCAATTCAAGTCGCGTACCAAAAAATCGTTTTATCTATGAACGATTAAAACTCTTATATATATGTCATTGTATATTTTTATTTTGTTTTATAAATATTGATATTAGTAAAATTTTTTTTAAATAATTTTTTCATTCAATTTTTTTATATTACAAAAATGTGTTCTAATAACGATAATTTAATTCTATATTTATACAAAATAAAATCAAATTCATTTTATTTTACTTGGAAAATACCACCCACCACATTTGGCGCAAAACTAATTTTTTAATTTTATAAACAACATGGATAAAAACCAGTTTAAACATTAAACAAAATTAAATAATAATGATTTATTGTGAAACAAAAAATGATGATCGTGATAAAAACTTTGAAGTTGTGGACGTCTTTTTTTTAAAATGAAACATCACTTGTATTTTTTATTTATATTTTTTTTATAATCACTTAATATTTTTGTTATGACAATCCTTTATAATTAAAATAGTATAATATTATTAAAATAATTATTTATAATAGTTTTTTGTTAATTTTGTTTTTATTGATAATTTTGTGGAAAAACGATGAATTAAGTATTCCCAAAAAATAAATAATTGTAGTAAATACTATAAATAATAATACATTTTAACTATTTATATAACTTATTGATAAAACTATCAACTTTTAGGAAACCAATTGTAATATAAAAAAATATTATAAAAACAATTATATAAAACACTAAAAATTGAGTAATAATAGAAACTTCACAACAACTCGAGTTGAAAAAACAAGATTTGGAATTTGTTGTTTGTTTTTATTGAGAAATAATAAAAATAGATTTGAAAAGGTATAAAAACATCAAGAAAGATCATCTCAATGTCTGGCATTCAATTAAGCGACGAAGTTACTTCTATTTACAACGAGTTCAAGTTGTCCCACAAGTGGAGATACATTCTTTTCAAGATGAACGACAAGATGACAGAAATTGTCGTTGATACAACAGCTCCTTTCGATGAAACTTATGAAGATTTTACCAAAGCACTTCCACCAAAGTCAGCCCGTTACGGCGTTTATCACCTTCAATACAACCAAGGAAGTGGCAAAAGAGAAAAGATCATCTTTTACTTGTGGACTCCAGCTGCTTGTTTTATTAAAGAGAAAATGGTGTATTCAGCAACCAAGGCGACAATCAAACAAGCATTTGTTGGGCTGTCTGTCGAAATTCAGGCTACTGGGTACATCGAACTTGATGAACAGAATGTGATAGACAAGGTCAAGTCTGTCTCTCAGTGAGTAATTTACTTTTTGGTTTAAATTGGTTACAAAATTGTTAAAAATAACATTTATAATTGTAACAACTTTTGGATAAAAAACAAATAACTACAAACAAATAATATACTGTAAAATTATAAGAATATCAACATTCTTAACATTTTATGATAATTATAATATTTTGATTCAATTTTGTTATTTAAAATTTTTTATAATGTCATAATTGAATATTATAAAACAATTTTAACATTTTATATAATGATAAATTTTTGTGTTTTTTTTTTATAAAAATAATATAAAAAAGAACTAAAAACAACAGAAGAACGAAATTTATCAAACTGAAAAATACAAAGAGGTTTATATTAAAAAATTTTATCGGATATGGTTATTTTTTTATGAATTTACTAAAAAATATATAAAACAACAAAACAATTTTTGTGAAACTCAAAAATCGATCAAAGAGAGACTTAGTCTTCTGTTATCGAAAAGAACCAATTAATTACAATAAAATTTAAAAAAACAAAATCATCATTTTTTGTTAACGTGTACATCCCTATATAAATTCTTTCAACTTCTGTTCAGTCATCTCATAATGGCTGAAGCTGCATTCAAGGCAATCGATACTAACAACGACGGCAAACTCCAATATGAAGAGGTCAAAGCTGCTATTGCTGCTAAGAAGGAAATCAAGAACGAGAAACTTGTTCAGTTGATCTTCAAGGCTGTTGACGTTGACAACGACGGAACAATTGACCTTCCCGAGTTCACCAAGTTCCATCAAGCTATTGCTGGCGTTGATATGGCTGATGCCAA